CAGCACATTAAAATCAAAGCTTTGCTCTGAGAAGATCCTACTTTCAGTGAAACCAGAGTTGTTCATAGGCACAAGATAGAGCTCAGAGCAAAATGGCAAGCTCATCACAGCACTTCCCCCCCTTAGGGGAGACACATGTTCCAGGCCTACTCAGGCAGACCTTTGCAGCATGGCTTGGTGCCCAAACCACGGCCTTACAGGATACTCTCGTGGAGCTCCTACACTCTTCGTAAATAACTGCATATTCACAGGAATAGGAACATCTTCCATAAGGCAGGGGAATGCTATATACCATTAACCGCTAACATCATTGTCTCTCATCTGTGATCCACTCTAATCACCTGCCACCAGACTTCACTAAATCACGTCGTTGACTCCAGCATTTCCAATTACAGTTAAAACAATTTTCATGAGGGAGAATTCACCAAGTTGTAATAGCTCACTAATTTTACTGTCCTTTTATAATGACTACATGTTTGGCTACATTTCTATTTGGATCTTTAACTTCAGGCAATGCTATCTATAACACAAGAGGCTCTCACTCACCCACTTAATGTGATTGAAATTATACTAGAAAAAAAAAATCTGAGCCAGTAACCGGATATCTTGATACATGGTATTTGTAATGTAAAAAATAGTAAGTTCTTAATCTCAAAAAAAGTGATGACCTGACCTTATTATTTTAGTAAACTTTAAAAATTGCCCATTTGTGAGTGCATTGTTTTCTTGGTGACTAGTCCTCACAATCATATAATAATCTGATTCATTCTGCTCCACCATTTTCCATCACAGTAACTTTGGTCTATCAAGTCAATCCTGTCAGATCCTATCAGCCAGGCTTTTGGGGAAGGGGACTAGGAGGGTAGAGGTACCTTTATCTTTAGCAACACCACCACCACTGCGTGCTGCTTTGCATTGTTCTAGTGATAGGCTTCAGTTTGACCTCTGAGGAGACTGTGTTCAACTTCTAGACCAAATTAAAACCAGTGGAGTTTGAAGTTATATACCGATAGGAAGGTATGAAAGTGCAAGGTAAAATAATTTACTCCAAGAGTTGGGAGGACTGGATCATACCAAGATAATCGGCAAAGAGATGGGCATAAGAGATTGAAGGTACAGAAATGCAGGTAAAGGCACATAGCATAGAAATGTGAATTTTTGCTGTTTAAAATGTGGTTTCTCAAAAAGCACAACAGATTGCAGGCTGGAACGATGCAGGACACCAAAAGAGAAGAGCAGCATGTGAAGAACATAAGAAAGAGAAGACAAAGGAGAGGAGCTAGGAAGGAGCTACCACTGATGCACTCGCTAGGAAGGCAAAACTGAGCACGGACGCAGAAGTAGGTAGCCTATCACTGAAGGCACACGTGTCCTCTGGCTCAGTTAGTCCTTGCCAATGGTTATGTGGTGGTCCTACTACCAGTCTGCTCACCTCTGTCCTCCTGATTATGGCACTCACCACCATAACTTAAACATTAGGCAAAGAGGGAGATAAGCACGGATGGGGCTACAGCAACGTTGTTACAGTTATTCCAGTCTCTCTTCTAGTCAACTGCCCATCTGAGCATGACTTAGGTGTAGGTGCAAGAGGAGAAAAACAGTCATTAGCACCTCCCCTCAATGGAAGGATAAGAGATAAAGAAGACAAGTGAAAGATGAAAGAGCTAACAAAATCCAGCTCTCTATCCAGGCCTTTTTTAGCTCCCTCAGCAGCAAGCAAGCCATCTTCTAGACTTTAGCGGAAACTAGCTTATGTTTTGCTCTGCTTTAACAATTCCAAGCTAGCTCCCGTCCCTTGACACAATATCTAAAAATGCGCACTCCAAACAGCAATTGCTGTAATAATAACAATACTTACATTTCATTATTTAACCTCATGCTATTCGTTCATGAGGCTTAGTGCTTAATTAATTAACAACACTTAGCATTTCCACTTAGCACTTTGCCTCTTCAAAGCATCGTACAGACAATACCTAATTAAGGGCAGAGCTCCGCAGACACTTCACATCAGGACTTCCCTTTGACAGCTCTGCGTCCAAGACTTGCTCACATGGTGTAGCATGAATTCAAGTTGAAAGCCCTATTGACTTCATCAGCAACCAGGTAATGCTCTGGCTATCAAGTGACGATCTTTGCAAATTCCTTTTCTTTCCCTGTTGCTTCTGGTTGCTTACTATTCACCCAGGGATCTAATTATTGCCTAATGTGATGGGTGATAATGTGAACCTTGTATTAGTGCTATCTACAAAACCTTCATTCTTCCCTTAGTGAAAACCTTATTCTCAGTCACCTGGTTGAACAGCCTGTGGATAGAAAATGTGTTAACCACAAAAACAGATTATAAAATGTCAAGCCAGAGTTTTTAAGGAAGATGGTGCTTTCAATCCATCAGTCAAATGCCTGCTATGAAAGTGCCTTTCTTGTAAGCACCCCAGGGTGCTACACAACATCAATAGACAATGCAAACACAGGGCTTTTATGGTTCACTTTACAATTGGACATTGACTCCGAACCTGTGAAACAGAAAGGAATTGAATTTCATGACCAAAGAGGATAATGTGCACAGGATTAAGTAGACAACACTGGTAGAAGCAGGAAAGCAATACGGCATTGGATGCTGATAGAGAGATTAAATTTACAAATAAGAAACCAAAGGAATAAAACAATTCTGAGTAAACTCTCATAAACCAGTGATAGCACTCAATGCTTCGTATCAATCCACTATTTTTTCAGAGAATCAAACATGCTGATGGGTTTATTCAAAGCCCACCGATTGACTGCGCCCTGACTATGGGAACTGAACAAAGAGAGCCCTAAATATGTAATAGCTCCAGCCAAGAGAATTATCCAGACAGTATGGAAAGAAACTTCTGCCGGAGTCAAACTGGAAGAAAAAGAGAACATTCATCACAGTTAAAGAACTTGTCTAGTGTCTCAGAGGATGACTTCGCAGGGCAGTGGCTGGCAGTGCCGCAGCCTGGGGCTGCTCCTGCTTAAACCTGCTCCGGAAGAAAGCAAGCGATCCAATACAGCCACGCAGCTTCCAGCTCTCAGTGGTGCTGTAGTGTGTCACGTGCACATCACAGCTCGTATCAGCTGGGTCAAACAGCTTTCTCAGGAAGTTCTTCTTGCCAGATGAGCCACAGCTTGATAGATGTTAGAAATTTGAATGGTTTGGTTCTTTGAAAAGTGGCTGTATTGAACAGAATCTGACCTAACCATTTTGGCACTGAATTCTTCCACAAGGATAACTGTGTACTGCTAACTGCAGTGTCTTTGTGCCCAAAATATGCTGTGGTAGTGTTACTGCTAACTTCTAAAATCCCAGGGGTTTAAATTAGAAAACAAGCCTTATTATACCTTAATATAGTTTCGTTTAAGCTGCAGATGGATGAGATCCTTACTGCCATATTCAACCTCAAGCTGAGGGTCAGATACTCACCCTAGAGTTTTCTGGAATTCAGTACCTGCCTTTCACCTTCCCCCCCAGTCCCCAGAAATTCTTTCCCCCTTACTCAACTTCAACCCTCCAATATTCCCTTGCTGCCAGTTCCCACTCTCCAGGTCTCCCTTATCTCAGACACCAAACAGCTTAGCCAGCCCCAACCAGCTAACACCTGAGGTCTCCGTTGCTTGGTTTTCCTGTAGCCCTTTCTAATGTTTACCACCTCGGACCTGTCCCAGACCCATTGCAGCCTGCCCATGACCTCTCTCCCCTGGACCAATTCTGCATTGGGCAAGGCTGGGTCCACTGATGTATATGGTTGCATGAGAAATCATGCACCTTTCTTGTAACAAGTTTCCTAAAATGTAACGCTCAAGACAAAACTGTCAGCTGTGGTCACTGTTGATCAGGGAAAGATCCCTGTTAATTAGCATGCATGTTGGAGCAGGCCATTAACATGCATTGTGAAGCTACTGTGCAAGTTATTATCTAGGTAACTGTGCCACTGTTTCCAGCACAAGGCTGTCACATGAGCCCTTCTGATCACTCTTGTATTTACATTTGCTGTGCATCTGTCCTAGCATCTCCAAGCCCTGATGTCTTGGAGGAACACACGCTGAGACACTTCCTGACTGGGGTCAGCTTCCAGCACTGGAACTCTGCCAGGTGCAGCTCAAGATGTGAACCAAACGCAGGCATAAAACCACGGTTACAACAAAAGCCTGGCATTTGGGAGGCAGTTCTCTGCTCTGTGTATGGCAAAAGTAACTGTTTAGATGACACGTATAATTTGGATTTTTAGTCCGTCCCACAGTTTGCACTCATGCTGTCATTGCCCTATAGTCATACAGTTCTATGGGGTGTTGGGGTTTCAAAGCTTCACAGGACTGTGTATTAATTTCTGCTGTTCATAGAGCTCTCCCTGTAAGAGGTCAGGGGGACATGGCCATAGAGTAGTCAGCAACTGATCCATGGTGGCCATGAATCTAAGTTCCAGTGTGTATTTCCTCCCTGCTTCCAGCCATCAGTGTCTAATGTCATTGGGACAATTTATACTTTTGGGCTATCACAACCTCCTACAGGAATGACTTTCACAAGTGATACTGATTGCATTAAGTCGTACCAGTGCTTCCCCTGTTGCTACATCAGAAGAAAGTGTTCCTGCTGCTGCACCACCATGGTGCATGGTATCAGCCTTGCAATTTAGCCTGCACAGGGAGTGCTGGATGGATTGTTTGATGACTTGCAGTACAAGACATCAAGACATCCTAATCTCCTTGCCTAGTGAAATTGCTCAGCACTTTTGTTAATACTGAAGTGCAGGCCAGCTGAAGCTACCTTTAAAGGGCAGGGTACACTCCAGGATGAATATGGTTGACACAGTTACACTAGGTATATATTTTACTTATAATTTTATCACTACGCCCATTCTAAGCACAGCCTTTCAATTAATTGATTCTTAGGACTTACTTGATATAGACAATACTGAAATATTTCTGATAATGGCATTTTCACAGGTAGCATTACCCATCCCAATCCAGCTCAGATTTCTCACCTTTGTGGTCCATAACTTGACTGTCCAGTCAAATGATGATGTGACAAAGAGATGGGAAAAGTCAATTGGGCCCACTGCCATGTGACAATTGATTCCTGTGACGGGTCCTTGGTGACCTTCAAAAATTTCACCAATGCCAGCTTTGCTGCAGGAAAAAAAGAAGTTTGCCTTTAGAGAGTGATTTAACATATGGTGATTTAACATCATTTTTCTTTCCTGTTTCCTTTCAAAGTTCCATTTAATCTGTAAATCTCTCTCCTTTCAGTATAGGGCCTTTGCCTGCAGAGGTTTACTGCTGTGGGCACAGTTGATGCTCAGGATCCAGCACAAGGAGACTTTCTCTTACTTCTGAAGACTTGCCTTACTCACTTTTACATACACTGTCTACTACTGTAGCCTGAAATAACAATTTAAAATTATAATTATACTACAGCTTATGCCTCTGAGTAAGCCATTATCACACGGAATAACCATTAAAATAAAAATGCAAATATGTTAATGACTTTTCATGAGCAATTCTTTCTCTCTTAAATATCTAAAATAACTTTCCACAGCAGTCAGTCGAGTCACTAGGAATCAAATCCGTTTTCATAAAAAGTGAAGGAACTGTTCCTGTGATCAGGTATCATACAGTCATTACTTTGAACGAGGGGAGATGTGCACTTCATCAGCCTGAGGCTAGAATAGCTATTAGGAAGGAAAAATACAACACTGTGTAAGAGAGAATGTGTGCAGTTTTCTTCTTCCTGGAAGCAAATGACAGCAGATCAGTTGTCAGTGCTGTCTTGCAGTGTATACAGAATCATGAAATTACCCTTTTAGTTACATTATAGAAAAATTGCCAATGGAGGAAAATACATTAAAAATAGCCACAGCTCTGATGGCTGCAAGCCCTGTGCCAGTCTGAATACAGCATACCCGAAGAGATGAGGAGCTGCGCTGGAGGAAAGTGGTCCCTGATATTGCTAACGTGGTGTCCCCTCGCCTCTCCTGTTGACCACGACGGTGTGGCCTCATTCAGGCTCCCCCGCCAGCCTTCGCAGTACGTGCTGGAGTGGGGGCTGAGTTCTGCAGTGCCTCTGCAGTGCTGGGTACGAAGTGCACCTCTTATTTTATCCCCATCTGTCTGCCAGTAGTCAGATAGCAGGATAAGGGGTGTTCTGGAGCACTGAGAATACCTTGTGTACCTGCTGTGCTTTGACACACCTTTTTCCAGAATAACAGATGGCTTTCCACTGTGCTGGGCTGAAGGACACAGGAGCCTCTGGAAATAAAATGGGCACGATAGCAAAAAGCTCTAGGAAAGACAGGCAGGAGGAGAAAAGGAGTGTATTTGTTGATGGTCAGCAGAAGGTTTGCTAAAAAGGTGGGCTAACAAGAGGCGCTGGCACCTTCCTCCTCTTGTGAGGAACAAACCAGGCATGTCTGAAAGATCAGAAGTGAGAAATGTCCTTGGGCCTGCTTCATTTATCCTAGCAGCCTAAGACTAATTCAAACCATCAGCCGCCACACAGTCTATCAGTATAATGCCTGAATAGACATGATTTTGCAATACTATCAGTGGTCAGGCTAAAATAAAAATGTTATAAAATTTACATTTTATATAACAAATTATATGTAAAACAGTATCTATACAACATTAGGAATATGTAATAGAAGCCTTACAATTTTAAACCAGTGTATCGATGTCTATTTGGTCAACAGAAACACTAAATATAATAAAATACGAATTCAGAGAATACTGCAAACTACTGAAGTGTGGGGGTGAGCTTTAAATCTATCAGTGAAAAAAGTTTGTTCTTTACAAAAGCCTTTCAGGCATCCCAGAAGATGAAACTACTCCAGAAGCTAACAGAGCATGCTAGCATCCTGCAGATTTACAGGGTGCAAAATAAGGAACTTGCAGTATTAAACTACAGCCTGGGTTATGAGAGGAAGGGATATGACCACCGTGTGCGAGAGAGCACAGGGTACCAGTCCTGGGAGCGGGACTAGCACACTGCGGCTATGTCTGTGTTAGCAAATAAAGCAGGCGCCAGCCCAGACTGAGGGCAAAAGGTGTGGTGTGGCTCCTGGCTGTACAACAAAACTCTCTTGCCCTCCTGGAGGGGGTGGGCCTGTCCAAACTGCCCACGGAGAGCCAGGGCCAGCAGGGCTCAGTCTCTAGCCTGGCTGTGCAGACACAGCCTGCAGTGCTGCGTGGGGACACCTGGTGCAGGATGGCTGTGCGCTGCGACACGGGTGCTCTGTTTCTCATGTGCACATGTGCCCAGGGTGGCTTTTCTCTGATATATGCCTGTGGAGACTGGAGATGGAGCTGAGGATGGTAAAAAATAAAGCGGATTACCATCTCTTATGAGTGGTTTAGGCCTGATTACCCTGCAACGAAACTGTTTCCTAGGGCCTGATTCAACCTGCCCAGGCATAGATACCTACATCTCAGCTAGCTCTCTAGACCTCCATCTCACCTCACGGGTAAGAAAGAGGCATTTCTGAGGTCCCAGTCATCTCTTCTGCAGGCAGGTGTCTGAAAAAGGTAAAGGAAATCAAACCGTAAGAGGAGTCGTTGCTCCCCACCAACTACTCAGGGAGCCTGGGGCAACTACCCCAGCATAACAGACTGTAGCACAGATGCTCAAAGTCAGGCGACTCCAGTCCTAGTTGTACAAAGTAGAACAGTACAGACACCATTGATCCATGAGAAAAAACGTGAAACACTCTCCACACACACTTGGCTACCTCATGCCAACACAGACACACAATGTTATTTAAGCATGAAATGCTGAACATCACCTTCCGTGACGACAGGCTGTGTAGACTGTTCCCTCTTCACTGCCAACGACAAAGTTATTGACATCTCCAGTTGGGAAAGCCATTCCTGTAACTGCCACTGGTTTGGATTTATTGTACACCAGCTCCATGCTCTCCTACCAAAACAGATCTTCGTTATTATTCTGCTATCATCCTTTTGTTTGCTGTTAGGTTTTTCCTTTTTTCTAATTAATTTCTAAATGTTACACAGGGTAGCAAGGAGGGGAAGAAGAAATTACTTGACCCAGCCACAGGACTCTGGTTTCTACATAGGACATTGCAAGAAGATGCAATGTCACAAACTAGGATGCACTGCTCCTGCCATCCCTGCCGCTGTCTGTCACACGTTTGAGAGCGGCTGGAAGACACTGGGTGTTGCTACATCATCTTAAATCAGGCAGAGATGACAGGTGAGAATTTAAAATCTAATGGTGCAGAAACTAAAGATAATACCTTAATGGTTACACTTCCCAGCCCCAGGCTCTAATAAAACATGCAATACCCTTCTATTTACAAACATTTTTGAAATCAATTGTTTGTCAGGAAACGCGTGTCATATTGTGTGTACCTGAGGCATTTATCAAACTGTGCCATTTGTCCCTTTGCAGAACAAAATTAAAGAGTTGGGGTCCTGTCATTACCACCATTCTAAGCATGGCTTTTCAGGGATTTTCTGAGGTAACCATAAACATTCCCTGTAGTCTCCACCATCAAACTGCAAACCAGCAAGCATATTTTCTTTTTTCATTTGCTAGCTGTATCTCAAAGTAAGTCAGCATGCCCATTTTTGCTACTGCAAGTACAACTAGCACGAACAGTTTGTGGCCGTTGCAAGATGCGTATGCTTAGAGCAGATTTTGCACAACTTTTTGGTTGTTCAGCCTGAATGGTGTAACCCAAGAATCCACAAAGGGGCTGAATGATTTAGCAATTTTCATTTTTAGCTATTTAAGTGGGTATGTTTTCTATGTTTAAAATGTCTAAGCTGCTATTCTTCTAGGGCCAAAGCCTGTAGCGTTTTTCTCAGAAGGGCTTTTTGCTGTAGCTAAAGAAAGTGGGCATCCCTGTGAGAGGAGATGACTGCAAATCCATAGAGAAATACATTTGCTTGGTTTATACTTTTCTTTGAAATACATTTGGTTCTACTAAAAAGGTGAAACAAGACCTGGAAAATGCATTGGCAGAGCACCTGTGGACCATATATTTCTGTGAAAATCTTCTGGGGTGAGATCATCATTTAGTGTCTCTGGGGAGACGCGGCCAGATACTGTGGTGGACCCTCTCCTCCCAGCGCCCACACCATGGCTGTACATGAGTGCTCTGGATCTGTGTCTTTGGAAAGTTTCAGACTGACACACATCAGCAACACTCTACTCCTCCCAGTTTAAAGCTATGGCATCTAGCTTGACGTCAAATCCTGTGCCTTTCTTTTCTACATCACCGTGAGCCATGCGCCAAACTTCAGCGTAATGTGGGGTGTGTTCCCAACCTTGTTGAAAGCCAGTTTTGGAGCAGGAAATTCCATCCGAGTGATGAAGTACTGGAACTGAGATGTTCACAAATCTCTGCTTCGAAATGTGGTATTCCAGTAAGTGAATACATAGGAGTGGGATTTATCTTCTCAATGTTTAAGTGAGAAACTGGGGAAGGGATGCAGGTGCCTAAACATAGATGTCTGGGCCATTTTAGTTGCTTCCACTTCTATTCCAGAAGGGTATTGGTTTCTCATAGTCCCAGGACACAACTACCAGACCCATATTGTTGCCTTAGATAACACGAGCAATGTGATCTAACTTTGAAGTTGCCCTCACTTTGAGTAGGGGGGTAGATGGGATGACTTCCAGAAGCCCCTTCCATCTTAAGATTTGACCATTCTGTACCCCAGGGTGGGTATCTGAAATGGTATTTCACACTGTGGTGGAATGAGTCAGCCTCCAGAAGTGCCCAGTTCTCTCTCTACATTAACTGTAAAGGGAACTCAAATTACTAGCTTAGACTTGACACAGACCTAACTTCTAGATGGCTATGGTTAGGATAGAGGAGTCCCACCTCTTGTGTCAACACTGAAAAGCAAATAATTTGATAGTAATTGCACATTAATGGGTGATTAATGGAATCATTAAGAGGAGTTTCTACACAGCATTTTGAAACAAGATCAGATCCCACGATGCTTAGTAAAAATTATATTAAATTATATTTTCTCTAAAAAATTATGTATAAAAAATGAGTGACATGTTGGAATAGAAAATGTACTACTCCAGAAGATAACACTTAAAAGATGCTTTCCATAGACCTTTTTCAGCATAAGATTCTTTGTTTAGTTTCCATTATTATAATCACTAGTGGTTTGGACAATTTTCCTGGGTTTCCTTTCATTTCTGATACAAAGGAGAGGAGGTGGGGGGGAAAGACAATAGTAGCAAACATTCCGGGGGGGGGAAATTAGTTCTGAAACTTTTGATTTGCATTGTTTGTTCCTTTGGCTATTGAAAGCAGACAGCAAAGTAAGCTTTCTGCCTGCGTGCCTTGCAAACCTGTAGTGCCTAGGGTGTGTTCAGCAGCGGTGCAATCTAGTCCGTATTTGTTAAACAACGCTGTAGAGTAAGTACAATTTATACCACAGGCGACTTCTGTAATTACCGCGCTTTAAAATGGATTATTTCATTTTCACTTGAAACTGACCTACATATTAACGTATTACAATAATTACATGATTTGTGGTAAAGGAAATGGGTTTTGGCTCTTAGCAGAGACTGCTGGAAGCAAGCTGTACTCTTTCAAGTACATCCATTGGGTTTAGTTTGTATAGGACGTGAGGTTTTGGCTTTTAGGAGCTATGTTCCATTACGCGGGTATCCTGCTCTACCGAAGGTGCTTTTTTTTTCCCTGTATAGGTGGAAACAAACGCACCTGTGGAGTTGAGAGCATGTCCAGGCTCCAGGAGCACATTTTGCCATCCGTAGAGACGGTAATGAGATTGTGCGCATTCTGTGTTCCAACTACGTTCACACAATACACAGGATGCTGAAAACACATTAACACTGGAAATCAGAGAGCCATTCTCACATCTTCACAAACAAATTTCTAATGTCTCATATGTTATTTTAAAGAATGATTAAGTAGCCACATAATGCCTGGAAAATACAGGACTCAGCTTTTGCCAGATAGGAATTGCTTTGTTTTGCTTTTTTTTTTTAATTTAAATTGTAAGAGGTACATTATGGAGGTGGAAATGTTTTCAAAGTTTAATTTTCCTCATAATAAAACAACCCAGCTGAGTAATGCTGTGAAAATACTGAATTATGTGGATGAGATTTCACCCACAGGGACATGTATCATTCTACTGATGGCTTTTGACACTGAAAATAACCAGCAGAAAGAGGGAGACTGTCCAAATGGAACCAAAAAGAAAACTTTATTCAAGAAAACAGCTGCATAAAACTTGAACTTTTCCAGAATTTGGCTTGCATTGCTAAATATTTGCAAACGTACTCCAGTTGAAAAACATGAACAAGTCCATCAGCACTGGCCAATATATGATTTTAAAACTGTCATTATAAATGTGGAGTGACTAAATTTAGCCTGTTACACCTGGTTCACCATAGCATAGTCATTCCATGGAGGCTGAATTCCACTTAATATGCAGTAATGAAACTTGGCCTGTTCCTTTTCCAAGGAATCTGGTAACATTTTCAGCCTAAAGCGTCATCTGATATCTGTTGGTGACATATGAGGCATGGTTCAAGTTCAGCAATCTCCAGAGTGAAAAAACAGTCAGACCGAACAATAAGATTTAATTTTCTTTGACCAGTACAAGTGATACTGCTGAATTAAGGGTAAGACATGCACACAAGTCAAGCAACGAAAAACTGTATTTCTCTGCCTCTTTTGCCGATGAATAGAGGACCTGCCTCTCCAGGAAGAAAAAATACTTTTCACTAATACTTTCCTTATTTAAAGAAAATTAGGACCAACTCACAAGAGATCCCAATAGAGCTTGGCAGAACTACCACTTAGCCTACCTTAAGATCCAGCTGCGGGTCACCTACCCAGCCAGTCGGGAAAGGCAGAAGGCTTCAGAGCACTGGCTAGCGCTCAGGTTCGATACCTGAGCGGGCCTGGTAAATGCCCTCTTCCTAAGTGCAAAAAGGGCAGCATCTGAATGCACGGTGTGTGCGTGCACACATCAAAGACAGGCTCAGCAATTGCTGCTGAAATGGTACCTTGTGCTTGGAGGCCACCTGTACATACCAGTATGTCCCAAGGTCCATTCTGATACTGATTTTTCTCTTCTCTCAAGATTGTCGGGCACCTGGTTTCCCCCAGACCATCACATGGATCCCAATCTGTCCCTCGCATGTGTCTCATGCTATTACCCTCGTACGATGGACCTTCTTGCTGCTTAGCGGTGAGCTAAGGACCCCAGTGCTAAGCATAATTAGCCCATACTGATGTATGAAATAAGCATAGACCTATTTTTTTCCTGGGTGTCTGACCTCCAGTAGTCCAAACAGAAAGGGACAGAGTGGGTGGGAGGAAGCTAAAGCAAGCAGCAGAGTATCTCAAATATTTAGGGGGGAGGGAGACAGCGAGCCATGTCTTTCCAGCAGCACCTCCTGGCTTTAATCAGGGCTACCAGCCATCAATTTCATGCACAATAAAACTCGCGGCAGAAATGAAAAGACGTAAGGAAAATGGATGAAAAAGACAACCAACTGTACGTAACAGAAAGTCTAAACAGGCTCTTTCTTTTCAAAGGGGCGCTGCCAGCTTGCTTTTATTTATTTTGGAAATGAAATCATCATGCAAAAGGGTTTTGCCTTAATTAAAATTTCCTGTTGTCCCAAGTGCAGATGTGTGGTGGGTGTGAAAGGAAATTAGTGAGTAAGCTGTGGGTAGAATTCTCTTTCCTGGTGAATCCAGGCAGTAATCAGTGATACTAAACTTCAGGAAGGTTTAAGTCAGTGATAACAACACACTCTATCTGTTTCAAATAAACAAAGTGAGAGAAAGAAAAGAGAAAAATCCTTTTTTTCACATCTGGCTTAAGTTCAGATTAAAAAATGACTATTCAACTCACGTATCTAGCGGTACATAAAGTAACGTCGCTATAGTAGAGCTGTCTTAATTTAATCCTTTTTTTTTCTTGGCAGCTAGGATTCAAGCCAGCCTTTTGCAACCAAGACTTCCTTCACTGTTTATGTAAGTGATTCCTATATATGAACATAAAGTAAGCACTCTTTTGTTGTAAAAATCTCATCAGTCCTTAAAAACTTCATGCTTTCTCACGTTATACTGTGTAAACACTTATTTATACCCATCCATGACAGCACATAAAGTGCCCATCCACAACTGAAAGTAATTTATTTATATTTGTCAAAAGCAAAACATCACATATTGTTCTATTGCAATAATAAAACTAGTTTAATATATAATTCCAGGAGGTACAATTTTGCCTTAAACGTTTTTTGAGTGTAAACAAATTACTTCCCATTAATCTTTTCTTTTCCACTAGATTTTGAGTCCCAGTTGTTCAATTTTCAGTGATAGTCAGCTTCTCGCCACTAGTTTTCTGGTCTGCTACATCTCTAAATTGCACTTCCAGGAGAGACTGTTTCTTTTCATGCAGATTGAACAACATTACTGGTGACAAAATGAGCAAAAACATTAGGGAAATGAAAAACAATGTTGAAGTTGCAACCCGTGGCACAGATCATTAGATTATTACATCAACATTCATGATAGTGGAAATTTAGGGAACAATATTTGTACTGCCTGGCCCACTTCACGTGTCTGTGCGCACCTGTCATTTTTTAATATAAGAGACTTGCCACCACAATACTGGCCCCACGCTGAATCCTTTGCATTAATTCATGTGGCGTGGCTTCTAGAGTGGTCTTTCAACTCCAGGGATTATGTTGTCACAGTCAACTAAAAGCTGAACCTTGATCTGCAAATTCCAAAGATAAGAATCGCAGAATTGTAAAAGCTGGAGGTGCAAAAGACCTATCACTTTGTCTGATCCTTCGCTCTGCTAGAACAAGATTATTATCTTATCTCTCAGAGTGCTTTGTGTAGTTCAGTTTCTTATGTTTCAGGAAATCTGCATTCTTCTGCATTCTTATATCATGCTACTACATTTTCCTCCTCCTTTTAGCCTGTATTTTCTTTTCTGCTTCCCACTTAGGAATGGTCCCAAGCCCACTCCCAAGGTGAGATATGTTTACCATCCACAGGTAAAAAGAGGCTGTCTGAGCCCAAAGTCTGGAAGAGGAATGCACAACATCTTAGTGCAGGATGGACTGGAGGTCAGCGCCATAGGAGAGTGAGGACACTTTAGCAGGCAATCCAAGCTTGCCTCTTCCTCCAGCACAATATGAGTACTTTGCAGTGTAAGAGAGTCTTCTACCACAGGCATCATCTTTGTATTACAGAGAAACTCTCTTCCTTCTCAGACATTTTGTGCTACTGGTCTGCCTGCATATCTCCCAGACGCCACCAGAGCCCTGTGCCACCACCATGATATCTGCAGGTATCTGTGTGTGTCAGCAAAATGCGCTTCCTCATCATTCTGTTGAAACAAACTCCCCCTCACCATGCAAACTCTATCCTAGGACCCTACCTGGAGTAGGAGACCATGGCAGGCATTTATGTATTACCAGAAGCAAACTGCCCTGCTCTCTTCAGGGGCACCAGTGTCTACTTACAGGACTCCACTGAGACCACCGTAGGTGGTTAAACTGGTTCAAAAGAGAAACTCGTGTACAAGACGACAACAATAACTGAGTCAAGTTCCCTGCCATGCTAGACTGATAGACACACAGCCCCTGTAGTGACCTGGCTCTCTTTATGGGCAGCGGAAAGCAAGAGTCACAGTACCACTGTGTTGGCACAAAGGTGCCTCACTCAAGTGTTGCAATTCATCCTGCCTTCTTCCTTGGAAAGGCAGACAATCTCCTGACCTAAGCATACTAAGTGTGATGCTTAAACACTTACAGGAGGTGGTTGTACATCTCTTTTATCTATTTCTTTCCCTTCAAGGGCTACACTTATGTTTTCATCTGTGTGGCAACCAGCATTGTAGACACAACTAGACAGCTCCACTTCCCCTCTGACCATTTCCTTGAAGGAAAGGAGGAGGTGTTTTTTTTTCCTTACCGTGTGAGCAGCAGCAGATAAGGGAGTTCTCTGAACTGGAGTGCGCCTGTGACTGCGATTATCCCACAAGACAATTTGGCCAGAGTATGTTCCACCAACAACCAGGTTTGGGTGAAAGCGGGCAAAACAGACAGACATCACGGAGGACTGGAGTAAAACAGGCAGAGAAGAAGAGAGGGATTACTTGGTCAGTCATCTTCAATTCTCTCCTTAAGGAAGGAAACTGTAATTAACATTCTGTATTTTAGAAATCACTGTATGAGCTTTATTCATATTCCTTGCACACCAGTAATTCTGCTAAAGCCAACAGGACACATGCAAAGAGCTAATTTTGACCCTAAATGTGTAGTTCTGTTGGTCCTAGAGAAAATACACACCGTAGGATGAGTCTTAGCATGATGCTAAAAACCTGAGATAACCTCTCCATGATGGTGATGGGAAAGTGCTTAATTTCATTTCCAAAAGCGAGAACTTCAAGTAACCAGATGCCAGCCCAACAGAGGTTGGCATCCTGGCCCATGATTTCACATCAGGGAGAGCTCTTCCCCTATTGCTCCTCTAGCTTTTAACTCTCAATTAATTTGAGGTGAGTTTGTGAGAGACCCTCCAAAGTCCACCTTAAGGTGTGCTGCCTTGAAAGCATCAGCTGACAGGTGGCATCTCGTTGAAGGATCAATGGCTGATTTCTCTGCTACGGAGAGGTCCTCCTCTAAAAGCAGAGGGAATCACACTTTCCCTTACACTGTTTGAGCAGAAATGAGTTTTTTGTCATTTTAATGAGCCTTTGTATATTTTCTTTAGCTCGGGATGCTGAGGAGCCAGACTGGTGTCACTGCTGTTACTCTGGCTATCAGGTAGAGTGCCCCACAAGCCAGTATAGAGATGGGTATCTATCCCAACTACCACCTTCCAATCTCTTTAAAATAACATACAACATCTGAAGTCCTCAAGGGAACCTTCATGTGCCAACAAGCTACAGCCAAGAGCAACAAGCTGTAACTCCTTCAAGTCCTCCATCCTCTTTCTAAGGAATTACTTCCCATTTTTATATAATTGGTCCTGGATGTTATGTCTTTGTTTTATGCAAATTGGAAAGCAAAGGTTACAGCATTCATACAATTTCCTGAGAAGTCACATACTAATAAAGACAGTTTGCAAACAGAAGCAAATATCATTTTTTCATGGGCCGTTTTAGTGACGCTTAGAAGCCACAGAGCAAGACTTGAACTGCTGCAGCAATTACAGTCAGAAAGTTAAGTTCACTGTTAGTGGTGGCATTCTTAAAAATTCATTCTCTGGCTGTTTCCAATGAGTCTTGGCAACAAATCTTTGTTATAATTTAATGACTGGATATTTTGAAGTGGTGATATTCCTACGTGTGAACCCATTTTACTCAACGACAAAGGGTTAACTAAATTACCGTGTTTCAGTTGCATAAAAAGAATTGCAGACTTTTAAGTAAACTTTGCTGAACTGGGAACATAGGAGCTGCCAAATTGAACTAGACCCCGTGCCTACCTAGCTGATGACCCTGCTGCTGGCAGGAGTGGATGGAATTGTAAAAACTTTGATGTGGGCAGATGTGTTATCTTCCTTCCTTACTGCTCCTCATCCTGATTTCTAGGCGCTAGAGACTGGTTTGAACTCTTACACCAGAGATTTAAAACTCCTTCTGATAGGGCTAGAATTAATTATGCTAGCTCTCGATGTCTATAACTATGTTAATAAGAATAAAGCAAAACGTGAAGTTTAAATCGTTTTTACTGAATTCGTGTGGCTGCCTGATATCTATTGTTTAAAGCCAGATTATATGCTAAATTAACTTAGTAGGCATACTTACAGCATACAGCAGGACATTCAATACTGTTTTTTTGACCTAATAAGATTGCCAAGACAACGAAATAAGCTGCCGCTACCTTTTTTCTTCCCTATTCTCTCCAGCCATCTGGCTGTTCACTTGACATCTTTGATCCCTTCCCTTCTTCACTAAAGCTTATGCGTACATTTCTCTGATGTTATGTAGTCTAGTATCTAAGGACTATATGATTAGTATCCGTGATTGCCTGTTTTAGTCCATATCTATCTAAGCACTTGAGCATAGTAATTACACTGTGGTCAGTCATAGCAACAAAAGGTAAGCTTCCAAACACCATTTCCAAAGGGCCTATTAGCTTTACAGGTAAGAAAACCCACCTCTGAGTAACAGGACTTTGGTACTGCTAAGATGGTCTTAAAACCCAGCTACAATGCAGCTGCCATCCGGTTTCCACAGATCCCCCATACACTATAACTAAAACAACCCTACAGCACATGTTCTACATTTTATCTCTTCGTTTAATGGCTTTGTGAGTTGTTTTAATCAGCCCCTCTCATTCCTTATAACTAAGCTGACAGATATTCTTACATGAAGTAAAATAGCCAGATGATTTTAAAATAGTACAGCTCCACCACTGTGTACACCCCGCAGCAGCTACAAGGCTCCACATGTATTTTAAGAAACCCCAATTCAAACAGTCATTCCACAACAAAGTTCTCAGCTTGTCCGAAACAAACTTGGGAGCCTCTAAAGCAGGGCAAAGAAGCCAAGTGGACAGCGTATTTTTAAATGTTGTGTTTTCATGGTTAGCATGTTTTTGAATTCAAGATCCCAGAATACAGTTGAATGGTCGGGATATAAACTGCTAAAGTGTGTTTTTCATAAAGTTCAAAAATAACCTCCAGACATGACACGGACTTAAGCCCTCTGTGCTGCTTCTAGTTTTACGTATCTCTCCGAAGTAACTTGCATTCTTCAACTGATGCAATGCTCACTTCCTTTTAATTATGTCAATATTATTTTTCTACCAAGGAAAAACTTCTGTCAAATATTAGAATTGAACAATTTAAGGACTCCACTCCATAGCACTTAATATAGTGATTATTTTCTTAAAGTTAATGGCAGTACTCAGATGAGTAAGGGCTGTAAGATCCAGCCCGTTCATTTAAGAACTTTAAAGGCAGTCATTTCTTAGCCTTAATGGGGGAGAGCAGCAGACAGGTCTCCAGTCTGTCTGAACAGCTCTGTGCTCAGGGAGAGCAGCAGAAACCATTCCCTGCAAGCCTCTTCTGCCTCCAGGCTGCCTCTTGTTTGCCGATTCAAGCAGTCTTGCTCCTCTAAAACAGAGCTTTGCCACTGACTTCAAAGGGGGAGGAACCAGTGCATGGTCAGGTTTTAAAATAACAGCGTATCCCTCTTTGCACTTCTACCACACCTTTCTAGGGAAATCTCACAGCACTTTCCAATAATGACAGTAAAGCTTCCCAGTTTTTCAGTTAGGCATATTTTATATGCTCTAAGTGCTTAGTTAACCATTGCAGAGGGCAGAAGCAGCTAGTTTCATAGCATATGGCAACAGTGCAGAAAGCAATGTAAGAGGGATCGTGTCAGAAGGCAATTCCATGGGGCGTTCAGTGTCCACAGTATAAAAGTGGCATTTAGAATAGGAGATTCCCAGCATTATCTTTCTGTGGGTGCCACAGAGCATCTGTGCCTGCGAGTTGTCGGGACCCGCAAGAGACAGGCAAACCCCAGTGTTTGGTCACCTTCATTCCTCTGAATTGCTCTGTGCAGTGAATCATTTCATTATTCACCTTAGCGTAACGCTTTGGTGTTTTCTTCCTCTGTGCAAATATAGTCTACTGGATTTAGCCTTCTCTGCTGGATTACTGGATTTAGCTTTTCTCCTTAGCTTTCTCAGCAACCCTACTAAAGTATTTCTGGTACTTCTGGCTTTGTAGTCTTCCACTCAGATTTTCTGCTCCTCTGCCTGAGTGACGGCTTTCTGGTGGGCACAGCACGCCGGTGCTGCTGCCTGGCCCCCGGGGCCCACCCTGCCTGCCCACGGAGGCGAGTGGCTCCCGAAGGGCTGGATGGGCGAGCCTGGATCAGCTCCAGGTGGGAGCACCACCCGGGCAGAAGCGAGAGCCAAGCCCAGGCTGGTAAATCCGAGATTTTTGTCTGGCAAATGGGTGGTCCTGCTCCCCAAATGCTAAAAGCTTCTGCTCCCAGCTCTTACAAGAACCGCGCTGAAACCGTGATTAAGAAACCAAGCATGAAATGCCTGTGCTCTTGTCACGGCAAAGAGAGGGCTGGCCTCCGAAACGTGAAGTGTTGCCCAGCCCTTGGAGAGGCCTGCAGTCACAGGGGGGGAAGGCAGCACGCCCCAGCCCCTGTTTTGGCAGCTGTCTGGTCCTCTGGGCCCAGAGGGAGAGAAGCTACGGGGGTGAGGGGGAGGTGACTTTGCTCAGCTGCCTCTGCCTCCGCCCGCCCTCCCCGCTGATGCACTCGCTTCAAACAGGCCCCGAGCCCTCTTCAAGTGGCTGGCAGAGCTGTTTTTTATTTGAGAAGCTTAATCCAGCCCAGATTTGGATTAATGATGGCGTATTCCTTCAACCACAGATACAGATGCTCGGGACAGACAGTCATTTGGATTCTCCTTACTGAGAAGCCTGACCTCAGTACCCACATCTGATGCGTGCAAGGCCCCAGAGACTCGGCTGTCGGTGCTCATGTCCGTCGATGCGGATGGCACTCTGCCCAGCCACCAGCTGAACAAGTTCACAAAGACCTGGGTGCTAAACAATAATGACTTTCAATCGGCAACAACTACTGCATTCAGCGAGACCTCTTCTGCAGGAAACCACCCCCGTAGGCAGCGCTGCCATACTGGTGCCATATGCCTACACTTGACACCAGATGGATCTCGAAACAATACTTCATCAGTGGGAAGAAGCGATCTGAGGAGTTCACAGGCCTTTTGAGACTCCAAAACACCAGGTTATATTGCACCAGGCCCTCAGGAAACTCCTGGGTAGATTTTTCTAGCTGAGCAAACACATGTGGAAAAGCACTACAGTCTGTGGCATGCTGCTATAGGTCAGTCTAACACAGACAACAGCGGGCGATAAAATTAACTGCAGCTGAGATGAAGAGGCAGATCCTTTTCCATGCTTGAGGGAATTGGCTTAGAGGGACTGAGAGCAGAGGGGCAAAGCTGTGGTACTGTCGCTTAGCTAGAACCACGCAAAGGTGCCAAACTGATAGTCCTTTATCCATAGGAACGGATGAATAGGGACTGGACCTCCGATCACCTATGCCAGCCCTCCTG